TTCTTATTTAATTTATTTTTTATTTATCATAATTATTTATAAATTAATATTTTAAAATATGTAATTAATAAATAAAATAATTTTTTTATTATAATATAAATTATTTATCATAAATCTAAAATATAATTTATATGTTAATATATATACTATTTATATATATATTAAACACAAATTACTATTTTTAGAAATTTTTATTCGATTAAAAGATTTATATTTTTTTTAAATTTAATTTTAATATATAACTAATATTTTTTTTATCGTACTATTAATCAATAAAAAAAACCATGAATCAACAAAGTAGGACCGATGAAAAAGATTAAGTTATATTTATCTTTTAATTTGTTTAGAAGGAAAGATAACACAAATAAAAAGTTGACAGAAAATAAAATGATTTTTTAATGTTATTAATTGTATAATAAGTAAAAAGAAAGAAAATAGATATAAATATATCGATTAAAATATAATGTATAATAATTGAAGATATTTTTGGTTTTTTTTTTTACTTATTAAGCTGTCTTATCTTACTATTTTTCACTTCAAAATGAAAAACAGAAATTTTTTAGTGATGATCACTTTTCTTTTCTTCCTTGTTTATCAAATAGGAGTTTTTTTATATATATTTTATTTTATTAAAATGATGTGTTTTTCCCCCTATTTCTTTAGTTCTTTTGTCATGTTTCAAATAAAAAATCAAACTTTGTTATTAATAGTTAACAAATTTGTTAAAGTGATGATAAATTTGATTTTTTAAACAAGATTTTGAATTTAACATATATGTAAGAAAAAAAATATAATGAAGAAAGAAACAGTAATTTAATTATAAAAATAATAATAAATATAACTTATGCAATGAATTTAATTAAATGTGAATACAAAATCACATAGATTAATAATTAAACAATGGACTGAAGAAAAGGTGGAGAATCGAAATAAAATAGAAAAAAGTTATCTGATCTGCAATTGCATGGATGAATGAGTGAGCCCGGGGACACAAAGAACCAAACCCAACTGGGTCCAATCAGTGAACCAGCTGTCAAAACTCACTCTTCCTACTCCCTCCACATCACCATCCCCACACTCCTCTATTCGCTTTTTCCAAGAACCAACCCACACACAAATATCAACTCAACAAACTAAAATATTTATTAAATTTTTAAATAAATAAAAAAAATGTAACTTACTATAAGACCATTCCCTTATGCGCCTTCCTCCCTCCCCTCTTTCTCTCTCTCACACACTTTCTCTCTCTTCGCCATGGAGGCCCAACCTCCAACCCCCTCCACCGCGCCTCCGCCGCCGCCGCAGCACCTCAACTACCCCGACTCCGTCGAGTCCTCCCCACGCTCCCGTAACACCGATTCCTGGGATGAGCCCTTCGCGCCGGCGTCGTCGAAGCTCCGCCTCATGTGCAGCTACGGAGGCCACATAGTGCCGCGGCCCCACGACAAGTCCCTCTGCTACGTGGGCGGCGACACGCGCATCATCGTGGCCGAACGCGCCACCTCACTCGCGGAGCTCTCCACGCGCCTCTCCAAGACCTTCCTCAATGGACGTCCCTTCACGCTCAAGTACCAGCTCCCCAACGAGGACCTGGACTCCCTCATCTCCGTCACCACCGACGAAGACCTTGAAAACATGATCGACGAGTACGACCGCACCGCCGCCGCCGCCGTCAAACCCTCCCGCATCCGCCTCTTCCTCTTCCCCACTAAACCCGATTCCACTCACTCCATCCCTCCCCAAATCCTCGACACTTCAGCAAAATCCGAAGATTGGTTCCTCAATGCCCTAAACGGCGCCGGATTGCTCAACCGAGGCTTTTCCGATTCCGCTTCCGTTAATTGCCTCCTCGGCCTCGACGATGAAGTTGCCGCGAATGCTCTCGAACAGGGTTCCAGGGACGTCGGGGATGGAGGCAGCGGCGCCGCCGCCGCCGCTTCCCAAGGTGGATCCTTCGGAAACGGGAAGAATTTGAAGCAGGATGTTCACTCCGTTCCCGATTCGCCCATGCTGGAGACGACGTCGTCGTTCGGGTCCACTTCGTCGTCGCCGTCGCTGGCGAATTTGCCGCCGATTAGGGTTCACGCCGTGGAGGATCAGAAGGTGATGGGGATTGAGGAGCAGTTCGCTCAGATGGGGGTTGGAGTGGGGCAGAAGCAGGATGAGGGTTTTGTTTTGCTGTCTTCGCCGCCGCCTCCACCTGTACCGGCCACGCTCGCCGCCGTGGGGGTTCCGCTTGCGGCGGGGGCGGTGGTCGCCGGGGAGTATCATAATCGGGTCATCTCCGATGATGAGAGATCCGATCACGGGGTTCCGGTTGGGTATAGGAAACCGCCCACTCCTCAGCCACAGGCTCAGACACAACAATTACAGACACAATCACAAACACTTGCGCCTCAATTTCAACAGAAGTCAACTGGTGGTGGCGGCGTTGCTGATTTGCCTTCTCCCGATTCAGTTTCAAGGTATTTTCAATTTCACTTTCCTTTTTCGTTTTTCTGTAGTTGGATTTGGCTTTCAATTGTTTTAATGTTAAGTGTTAGAATTGGATTGTTTATTATATGGTAAGGGGTTTTGGTTGTTGGTGTTAGAATTTTTTGGATTGGCAGTGTTTGAATTAGGTTTTTGGTGATTGTTTTGATCCTGCAGTGATAGTAGTCTTGCAAATGCAATTTCGCGTCAGAAACCTGCTGTTTATCAAGATCAAGTTCAGATTCAATCAGGGACTACAAGGGTTCCTAGTAACCCTGTGGATCCGAAGCTTAATGTGTCTGATTCGCATGGTCGGATTCAGATGCAGCAGCATGTACAGGACCCTGGATATTTGTTGCAGCAACAATTTGAACAGCACCAGCAGCCACTGCCGCAACAGCAATTTGAACAGCTCCATCATCAGCAGCAACAACAACCGCAACAACAGCAGCAGTTTATACATGGCACACACTTCATTCACCATAACCCTGGAATTTCTGCGTACTATCCTGTATATCCTTCTCAGCAACATCCCCAGCATCAGCAGGTTTACTATGTGCCTGCTAGACAGGCTCAGGCTTACAACTTGCCTGTGCAGCAGGCTAATATTGGTGAGTCCACGGGGAACATCCCTTCTAACCGGCCACAAACTCCGCCGAATCCTGCTACATTGGTTCCACAACCCGGTGCTTACAATCCTATGAGAAATGCTCCCATGCCTAAAACTGAAATGAGTGCTTACAGAGCTGCAACTGCAGGCACCCCACAACTAGTTCAAGTTCCTACAAGCCAGCATCAGCAACAGTATGTCACTTACTCACAGATTCATCATCCATCTCAGTCCATGGCTCCCAATTCTGCTGCCCCTGCCAATTATGCTTTCGATTATGCGGATCCTGCTCATGCTCAAATATACTATTCTCAACCTCTGGCACCCACAATGCCCTCACAGTACCAGACTATGACAGCCGCTGCTGTGATGATGCAGGATGGTTCAGCCCAGCATCCCTCAGACAGTGTGAAGCAGCAGATAAGAACCTCACAGCCATTATAAACCAGTCCTTCAATAAATGAAACAATTTTGAAAAAAATGGGTTTGGTTTCCCTTCAAGTTTTTATATGCAGTTCATGTCCGTCATGTTTGGTAAACTGTTTGTGGTATGTATTTGGATAGAAAAATAAGAAACTGTTATCTTCTTGTACTCTTTTCTTGTATGTCATAATTTATATAGGAAACGAAATTGGTCCAGGGTTATACTGTAAAAGGTCAAGTCTGAAACATTGTATTGTGAAGTTCAAATATCAATTCCCAAAATGATTGTCATATAAATTAGCTGGTATTGTTTCTTGCTCTGGTCTAGTGATTCATGTTTATGACAAACTATTTATTCCTGTTGACAAGGGCAATGGATGTGGCCATTTCAAGTTTTGGACTCGCAGTTTGTCCTTTGTCCCTTATGTGACCACAGCAGCCATGCATGAAGGACCACAAATTTTCACTTCTTCGTGTACTCAGAAATCATATATCAGTGTGGCCGCATTTTCAGTCCTCTTGTTCGTTTTATATTATGGGAAAAATCACATTTCTGCTGATTGACTTCAGTTTTTGCTGCGCCTGACCGAACAAAAATGTCCTTGCTGAGTTTTAATTTGAATTTGATTCTCCTTGATGAAAGCTACACCTTGAATTATCACCAATATGCCAGCCTTTAAATGCATAACCAAAATCAAAAAATACAAAATAAGAATACTGCCTCTTTTTCTTCTTGGTAATCAAGTGGATTCTTTAAGTTCTTTTCAAGCTGCAGAGTATGACTTTATACAGAGATAAGGTAGTCCTATAAAAATTGATCACACAGGACAAATTGACAACACGACGTTTGTAAATTATCCTGATTTTGCTAGATAGCAATACTTTTCATGTTATGCAAGAATACTATCACAGAAGCAAGTCTCTTGCGTTGCTAAGATAACGTGAGGGTCTGAACTCAAATGCTGTAGTATGCTTAAGAGAGCTACTATGACAAAGGCTGGCACTTACAGAAACCAGACCTATCTTGAGAAAGACACAAATGTATGATGATAACAATGTTAAGCAAATGAATTTGATTGATGTGAAATTTTAACGTATAGTGAATTTTAAGATTAATATAAACCCTGCACAACAGAGTGCACGTCACATATGATGGTTTTGCTGAATTTCATGTGACTTTAGCGGTAAGGTACATTAAGATTCGATGTTTTATTGTATTAAAGTATGTGCTGAGTACTAGTTAGTGGTTAATATAAGAATAGTTTAACTGTACGAGGTTTAAAAGTTGGGATTAGGCGTGAGTAAGATTGAGCTGGTTACATGCTTGGTAGGACAATTTTGCTAGTCTCGAACCAAATAGAAATAATATACGATTGAAAACAAACAAAAGTATACTTAAATATTAACATGATTCAATTACACGTTTGCACGATTAAACACTCAAATATTGTCATCCGTGACTTAAAATTAAATCTTGGTGACAAGTGGTTGATGCTGACTCTGCTTCAAACAACTTATTGCATACTACACAACTCCCATGTATTATTAACATTATCATCCACATTAATGATGGGGTTAGCAATAGTCAAATGATTTATGGTCCCTACCAGTTCAATGTCAACGAAGGTCTGGTTTTTGCTTAGAAGAATGCTACCGATTCAATGCACATAATTGGTGCATTATTGCCGACCGAGGTCTAAGGTAGCCTTAGTTCAAAGTGGGAAGTTGGGGTGGTCATGGAAGCCCATATGACTGAGAAAAAGAAGCATGGAAGAATAGTGTGCGTGTATATATGTGCACCCCACCGAAATTAATGCGATATTTCAATGCGTCTTTGCTTCCAAGAACTGAATTCCATAATGATGGAAAGGGAATCAATGAGCCATTTGCTCAAAATTTGATTCTCTGCCTCACAAGATTTAATGGATTGGTGGAGTGTCAAAGGCACCAAGTAAAAAGCTGCCTATTAAGGGCCCACTTAAGATGATCATAAAGTCCCTATCTTCGGTGTTTATTTGTCAAAATTTCTAATCACCAGAAACATTTCCCTTCTTGGGCTCCACAATTTTTAAACAAAAAGAAGCTATAATAGATCAGGGTCATCCGCTAGAAAGAGTGAACAATATTTGCGTCATAATGAACATACCACGTTTACATATTCTTACTGGCATATTCGAAGCTTTTGCATTTGTTTAGAAGTGGAAAAGGATGAAAACAACATATATTAATTCATAACAACCGTGTTATACTAGATGAGAATAAAGATTACAACTCTACAAATCTTTTCCTCTTTTTAGTATATATATCTTCCATTCATTAAAGAACATGATAAGATACAATCTTCCTATATTTCCCCAAACTTTAAAATCAATCGAATAACATATCAATCAGACTTGAATCGACAACCGACTCAATGAACAACTTTTAATCGATGCAGGTTGGCAAGCATATGCTCGGTCTTTCCTATTTATACATAAAAACAATTACTGCCTAATGTTCACTTAAATCACTTTCAAGCTTTTGATTACAAACTTTTCGCCATCTCACCCGATGGCAAATTAAGTTCAAGAGACAGTGACAAGTGATCAACTGATGACCGTTATTGGAGAAATTTTTGGAGGTAAGATTACATCACACGGTAATGGTAATGATGTTATATGTCTTGTTACTACGGACTCAAAATATGGTTAATGAAGATAATATCTCACACTTTACATTAAATTTTTTTTGCTGATAAAAGTGAACACAATGAAGGCAAAATTAATGATGATGAAACTCAAGTGAAAACCTATCATCATAATACTGTAAAAAAAAATATTTCAATAACGTGACACAAAATAATTATCGCAAAATTTGACCTAACAACCGTACTTTTTTATATTAAAAAATACCCTCTATTTGTAAAACACCACAAGAAACTCAGCTTATTTAGCCAAAAAGACATTCCTAAGAAAAATAATAATTTGTATTTCTGGAGAAGGATAATGCAAGCAGGGACAAATTTTCTTAGACATAGCTATGAGGATCAAAAAATATTCTACAGATATCAAAAAAGGGGAATAGCAATAATCTAATTACTTAACAGTTACATCAAAAACTCTTACACAATTATCAGCTCCACAAGAAGCCAGTTGCATACTTGTGTGATCATCCTCATTTTTCTTCCATGCTAGACGGTTTACAGTAGAGGCATGGCATATAAAAGGATCTATACGTACAGCAAGAGAAGCAGCCAAACCTGGTGTAGCTATGCTCCCATTATCTGCTCTGTTATAAGACAGATTCCACATTTCTATTTGGCCATTTTCCATTCCAACAGCTAGAAGTCCATAATTTTTCTGATGATGGAGACCAATCCAAGATAGTGCTGTCACACTACTCATAAATTGAGGTAAAGTCGTAAGCAGCCTGACGGATGACTCCCTCTCTATGGCCCAAATTTTTACTGTCTTATCCCGCGAACCTGTTGCAAATTCGTTACCGTGTGGATTCCAAGAACATGACCAGATAATCCGCTTGTGCCCCTCTTGCCTTGCAAGAAGACTATGACTAATTTCACCAGTGCCTGTAAACGACAACTGAGTCATTCGGATATCTGTTGAGTTGCAGTAGCTAATGAGAAACTTGCAACTATTGCAGTACTAAATGAGTCCAATAAATAATTTCAATGTATTTAATTACAAAAATACTTTTACTCATTCGGCAATAAAATTGTTGAAGAGATGGCAATTATTTCAAAACTAATTTTACTGTCGCAGATCTAATGGGTTAGCTTGGTTTTGTTAGTTTTCAGCAGATTTGAGAATTGGCCACTCCATCTCAAGAAATGTCAAGTGTCAACCAAGGAAAATCACCAAAATAATAATAATGAAAAGGTGCAAATTCATATGCCTGCATTCTATAAACAATGATGACAGGTCTACCTGTTTTTGTGATCGAAAAAACGGAGAACTGGCGATCCCTTGAGACAGTCAAAAGAAAGTTGTCATCATGTGAGAACTCCATCTGTGTCACTGTTAAGCTGTGGGATTGCAAGCGGCCAACCGCTTTCCATGAACCCACCTGCCAAAGCCACACCTCTGCAACAGCTGCAGATTGGGCCTGCAATGCATAAATCATATGTGGAACAACACATAGCAATATCAGTAATAAAACAGAAAAGTGAACAAGGCTGAGACTAACAGAACAATCTAAGCCAACCTGGTTGAAGTCAATTCACATACAAAGTAGGGGGAAAATGCATTGAATGAAGATTAACACAATAAGCAGCGTCTACCCCTCATGTTTTGAGATATGCAAGCAAAGTAACAAGGATTTCCATATAAGTAGCCACTGGATCCTGCCCAATAACAATAATACAGGTGCACAGCTAGACTAACACCACATACCTTGCAGGAAGAAGCAACAAGCTCTCCCTTATGATCACAGCATAAAGCGAATAGTTCATTTCCATGACCATAGAGTTTGTGCGATTCAGGCCAAAGTGTATGCCAAGCCAGTTGATCTTCAATTGGAGGTTCAGTGAACACAGTTGGAACGGCATCAGGAATAGTTTCAAGGGTGTCAATACCATCAATCCCACTTCTTTCAGGGGCCTCATGTACAGCTGCAATGAACAATTACCATCCAAAATATACTTTTTAAAAGAGTAAAACACAATAAAACATTTATAATTGTTTGAAAAGTTAAATTTCAACACAGGAAAATGAAACGAGTTTTATATTACTACTTTCCCATCCTATGATATCAGCCAACTCTTAGGAAGATCCAAATGCCAGTTAAAATTCTAGAGTAACCAGTTTCTCAGTCAGCTTATCTTGATAGCAATTAGCAGGTTTAGTAGAACCAATGAGGAACAAAGACAGAAAAAATATATATATAAGTCATATTTCTAAGTTGAAGACCTTCTTCCAGAAGGCCATAAATAGGAATGACTATAGTACTGGATAAAAGTTCAAATAAATGCCACAAAAGGGAAAATTATAAAGTCCAGTTTTCTAAGAGCTCACATATTATACAGATCCAATCCAACAGAAACATGAGTTACTTATCAGATTTCTACACATGCTGCTCATCACAACCAGTAAATACTAGGCTTGGATATCTCAAAACATGTCAATTCTAGCATGAGTTTAAAATAGATTCATAAATGCACAATATTTTGATTTAAGCAACTACATCTAGGCTAATATTGAAATATTTAAAAAAATTAACCAGTAAATTACTTTAAAGTAATTATAATTAACTTAGTTTAGGTGCAAATTTTACCTAACTATCAAGATTAATAAACTACCGGGTTATCAACTTTTTCTGAACTAATTGCACCCTTTTTAGCCTCAACCAGTGGCTTTATCTATTCAAGTAATTACGACCATATGTCATTACTATAAAAGTTAACAGCAGTAGATAACCATGAGAAAGAGCACTAACATTTGTCAATATGATCTAAAAATCTGCCCGTTATGCATCATGTGAACATCAATTTCAACGAAATAACTGACCTTGAACATAAATAGGTTTCTGTGATAGTCCAAGAGCTGACATATTTGCACCCAAAATCTGAACATCTCCCATGACATCATCAGAAGAACAAGACTTCTGCAAGGTGGCATTATTTAATGTCTTCAGAAAAGATAATGGAGCTTCAAACACTCTGGCAACTTTTTCATCAGCTCCACCGACAAAACGATGATTCCCCTTACTATGAATAACTGCCATACAATTTATATCATGACCATGAACTTGAGGACGAGCTATTTCATGCCAAAATTCTCCGTCTTCGAGAGAAGCCTCGACTTTCCATGGAGCATAAATTCTAGTTGTCTGCAATTTTTCACATAGCAACAATTTTCAAAGTGGAAACTAAAACAATTACACAAGCAGCTTGAATTTCATTATTTTTCTCTTCAAAAGTACAAAATTCATGTAGTACATTATGCAAGTTCATATGGAACCATAAGAGATAAATTATAGTCAGGAATGATCAATAATATATAGCGTTTGTGGACAAAATGTTTTAAATACCTGGTCATGACTGACGGACATAATATAATCACCAGTTCTAGCCCATGCAATATCAGTCACTGACGCAAAATGACCAGAGGGAACCTTTTGTGGCAGCCAATTATCATTACCAACATTTTTCCAAAGATGAAAAGATCCACCATACCCATGTGCTAAAATTGAATCTCCATTTGGGCTCCAATGGCCACCATAGAACCCCAGAGCACAGTGGCTTAGTTCCCCAACAGTGACTACATTCATCCAGACACCAGAAGTCTTTTCAGGTTGCCAGATCATCATAGTCTTGTCCATAGATGCAGATAAGATACTTAGTGGTTGATAATAGGCATCCTCTTCCCTGGATGCAACCAAAGGGGGTTGCCACATTACTGAATATACCCAATCTTCATGTCCAATTAAAAGAGATTCTAAGGATATCTGAAAAGAAGATGAACCAGCCAAAAGTACAGGACCTTCTATATAGGATGATAAACTTATTTCTCCTTTCCTGGATATGCCATGTCCATTGGACACAGAGCTGCACAATGCCATCTTCCATATTCGTATGCCTTTATCCTGAGATGAACTCACCAGAAAAATATTGTTTACTTCCCCGTTGATGCTTATAGGTAATGAGAAGTCCAAACTCCGTATCCAATCTGTATGCCCTTTTAGCTCACATGCATGTGCAAGCTGGGTTCATATGTAAAATAAAAGTAAAATAACTTGAACACAATGGAACACGAAAATTTACAAGAAACAGAAAGTTCAAGTTAATAATCTACGCAAAGATACCTTTCCTTTCCTTCCACCACAATAAAGGTGAATTTTGTTATCCAATCCTCCCATCGCAAGGATAATTTGCCCACTATCTCCAGGTAATTCAGCTAATGATAGGGCTACCATAGATTTGGAACCAACAGAGAAAGAATCCCGGCTTGATAATTTACAGTCACCTAAAATGACAAAGCAAGACTTATTCAATGTAGATTAGAATTACTAACATGGTAGTAAACAGGGTCATTGTCATCGGAAATTATGGCTTACCGCCAGCAGTCAGGGGAAATACAACTTCCCACACACAAACAGAGCCATCTGACGAAGAAGAAGCAAACATTGCTTCAGTTTGAGAAACCATAATTCCACTGATGCATGTAACACCTTTCTTGTGTAATTGTGGCAGTTGCAACACTTGCCTCCACTACAAACAATTCAAAGACAAATATCCGAGAAACAATAACTTATAATTCCATCTAAGTTCCCAACTGACAAGTGTCTCAAACAACTTATTTGTATAAAAATTGAGGAAGAGAGAAAAAAAAAAACGGAACACATTGTACCTTCCCATCAGTTAGGGACAGTTCCCACAAAATAATGACACCATCTGCATCTCCAGATAGCAAATAATGCTGCTCCAATTGTTTTGCTGCACGGTATGGGAAGAGGGAATATTAACCATTGATAATTTTTTCAAACATTGAAACTAGTCTAATCATTTCACAACAACTTAGATTCAAGTGCAACTTCACAAAAAAAATGAACTTGTGAAGTTCAAGTTGATCAGACATAGAGAAAGAGAGTACCTTTAAATAAGAACTTGGAAGTTGGGAGCCAGTGTGTGCAATTCACAACTGCTTTGTGACCCGGAAGAGTAGTCAAAATTTGAGCACTCTGCGAAAACCCAAAAAAGAATAATATAAGGGAAAGAAAAAATCTAAGAAAAAGGGTATCTGAAAAAGTAGAAGAGAGAGGAAACGGAACCTTGGGACAGAAAATAGCAACGGCGTTGTGAGCTCCAAAAGAGACGAAACCAGAAGCGCCCCATGAAACGTTGTTCACTATTCTGTTGCACCCCGCTCCAATGAACACCCTTTTCACTTCAACTTCGCCACCACTAGGCATGTTTACGCACTGTGCGCAGAGGTACAAAGTTTGAAGGCGGCGAAAGCTTTTGATTTTGGGTTCTCAGGCGACAAGAGCGTTGCCGCGATCGTTGGAAAGAAGAAACAGATTTGGGCCATCAGGTGGGCCTCTCGTATCGTGGATTTGTAATCTTTCATAGCCGTTTTTGGTGAAAAAATAAAGGCCCGGTTGGAAAGTTCGATGAAGTGTTGAGTTGAAACGTTACTGATCCAGTTTTTTTTTTAATACAATGAGATATTATTTTTTGGTGTACGTATCATATTTTAATTATTTTAGTTCTATCATGCCTACTTCCAAACCACTTTTCTCTCTGACAATTTATTTGGTTTACTTTTTATTTTTCATTTTTATACTTTTTCATAAATCTTATTTTTTAAATTTCTCACACTCTAATAATTAATCATTCACTTCATTATTTCTCTTTTATTTATATTATTTTATTTTTTAAAAGTAGAGAGGCATGAAGTACTTTTTTATAATAGAAATGTTTCTAAAACTAGTTTGATTGTGTATTTACTCAATAAAAAAAATTAACACGATTAATTTAGTGAATTTGAACTTGACTAATCAGTGACAAATATGGAATAAAATATGATGAATCTAGCTTATTAACATATGATATATTTTTAACTTTACATACATTTAAACTATAAAATAAAAGAACTATAAAATTAAAATTAAAGTATATTTTATAATATATATCTTAAGATAAATTACCAATATAAATATTATATAATGTTAAACAAAATATTATTTATTTAGACAATAAATTATATTATTGATGCATAATTACTTTTAAAAGTATAAAAAAAAATAACAACAAACCAAATTAGTATAACTTAAAGGATAAATCAAAATTGTTCTTAAAATACATTAGGTCTAATTTATTAAACCAAAATTGTTAAAAAATTCCTTTTAAGTTATTTCTAGTTTATATGAGATACCAAATCATGAACACCTTGTTTAACATAGTACAAAAGATATAAAAGCTCATAAAGTTTAAAATAAAATAAGTTACTTATGAAAATTGAATGATCTACACTTTCAAAATAAAATATGTAGTTATTGTAAAAGTTAATAAATTGTGATTGGATAACAAAATTGTTTATAGTGTGAATATATCAGTGTCAAGCTCCAGTTAGGTAAAAATTATGATTAAGTAATTTAAATAAAGATGAGCATCCTAATCAAAACAGAATCATTTAAATTTAATAATGAAACAAAAGAATAACAATTTTGTTAGGAAGTAATTTTGAACAAGTATACTTATTGAAATGGATTCGTTTTTGTGGTCGATCCAATGCCAAATTTTCAAGGCAGAAGCCATAATAATTTTGGATAGAGCGACAACCGCCATAACATTTTGACTGAGAGAAGTGATTGAAAGCGTTAGAGACAGAAGAAACGAGAAACACGAGTGAGAAAGAGATTACCACAAAGAAAAAGTAATGAGATAACAGCGAAGCATTATGTTAACGAAAATGTCAACCATGTCCATGTCCTTCCACTCCTCTGCTCTCTGCAAAGGCTCTTCCACCTTCTGCTCCCTCCCACGCGCCGCCGCACCCTTCCGCCTCAGGGCCTTCTCCACCGCCGTCTCCGACAAGCCCTCCGTTTGCACCGCCGACGAACTCCACTACGTCTCCCTCTCCAATTCCGATTGGAAACTCGCTCTCTGGCGCTACAACCCTTCGCCTCTCGTTAGTTTCATTTCCTCGTTCAAATCGCACCAATTTCTGTTCTGTCTCTATAAATTTATTTATTACGTTTTCTTAGAATACATACAATGTTTGTTTCATAGGCACCTCCGAGGAATCATCCTCTGTTGCTCTTGTCGGGAGTGGGGACTAACGCCATTGGATATGACCTTTCCCCTGAGGTATTCAACTTCTTTTTTTCTTGTGATCTTTTTTGTATCCATAGTTTTTTTTTTTTTTTTTTTTTTTTTTTCCAGATCCATCCTTCGTAATTGTGAAATTGTATGCAGAGTTTCGGAATTTGTTGTTGTTGCTTGTATTTTTATCATCGCTGGAATATTATTTGCTTCTTCTGTATACTTGTTATGAAATTCACTGTGGCAATTAGATGATTCAACACGCAAGCAAGTTTCACATGTATCATATTCAAATTCAAATTAACATCATCCCTGAATTGTTGCTATGTGTTGTTTTTGCGCAATGTGATAATTGTATATCGGATATGGTGCAGTGATAAGATTACTATTGACATCCATAGGATAAAATATGCGCAGGATAATACATTTATAGACATGTATAAATTATTCATAAAATATTAGAAGTATATGATAGCAATTCCACAAATCTAAATTAAGAGTTTATTTCTTGAACAATAATAATAGAAATTGAGAGTAAATTAAGATAGAAATTATATATCATTATCATCGTAAATCACTATCTATTGTCTACAAACACAAATAGTACTATCTTGTTCCTTCCTTGAGCATAATTGGTAAAGAAGACAGCCTTCATGTGTAGTTCATCAAGTTACAATGATTCTATTCTTCTTCTTATACATGAATTTATGTCTAGTATTTGGTTGTATAAGATTTTCATAATTTTTTTTTCTAAAAGAAAACCTTGGATACTTCACAAATTCATATTGATAAAGTATCTGAGAGGATTGATATTGGATATATCCGATTTGGACACATGAAGCAAATGCAAGTATTGGTGCTTTATCACTATCTTCTTATTCTTGTTTAAGCAACCACCCATCTTTTATTATTTTTTTTTTGTACCCTAATTTTTTTATTTAGCATTATTAGTATTACATTATAAGCGTGAGAGCAATGTTTACGAACATAGGAACCTGAAGCTTTTGAGGTTTGACACTTATGTACTATTTCAAATTGCAGTTTGATTGCAAAATCTGAATGTCACTTCCCTTAAAGAATGCACCAAAGATACTTCTTTTGATTATATATTATGCTTTCCTCCATATTGTTCTGGTTAAAGTCTCTTTTTTTGTCCCTATTATTCTTGGCAATCAACCTATGTTTGAGTAATTAATGATGCTTTCTGCCTAATTAATGCTGGTTTGTAGTATTTTCTTTTCTGATTTTATGTATCAGCTCCCCACTGACACATGATATGTAATGCAGTCATCATTTGCACGTTACATGTCTGGTGAGGGATTTGAAACTTGGATTCTTGAAGTACGAGGAGCTGGGTTGAGTGTTCAAGGTTCAAATTCCAAAGATATTGAGCAGTCTGCCCTTGCAATGTCTGAGACGATGGAATCTGCTTCAGAAAGTGCAACCAATGGAGCTGTGGTCTCTAACAAAGAATTGAATAACATGTCTTGTGCAGTATCTGAACCTGAGATTTCTGCCCCAAATGGAGTAGAAACTGAGAATGTGGCAGTCAATGGAGACCTTACTAGGTTAGCTACTGTTTGGGATGAATCAAAGTTGGTGGCAAGATTGACTGAGACTTTCATGTTTTTGTCAGAAAGAGTCTCTGGGTTTCTTAGTGAAAGTCAATCGAAGGTCATGTTTTCCAATTTACTAGATCAGATTTCAAAACTTTTGGTGGATTCTCCTTTATATGAACAATTCAATGAGGTGAGGGGAAAGCTTTCAACTCTGTTTGAAACGAAGCAAAACTCTGGTATTACTAGTCAAATAATTGATCTGAATCAAAAACTAGTAAATATTATTGAGGAAGGTCAGCTCTCTGTTTCTCCTCCATTATTTGATCTACAAGCTCGCTTTACTTCTACAATAGAAGATTTTCAAAAGCAACTTGACTTGATAGTGAAGTATGATTGGGACTTCGATCATTACTTGGAAGAAGATGTTCCTGCAGCGGTGAGATGACATCTTATAATGTTGGAAATCTATAAATCAATCACTCTTACTAATTTTATTGGCAGTAATTAACAATTATATCATTAGCAATACCTTTTTTGTTTTTTTTTTTTTTTTACTTTTGTCATTTACTGGAAACTTGCTCTGGCTCAATATCTCTCTTATATGACATTTTGCTTTACTTATGCAGATAGAATACATAATGAAACAAAGCATGCCTAAAGATGGAAAATTGCTTGCAATTGGACACTCCATGGGTGGTATCTTGCTTTACTGTATGCTTTCACGGTATGGTAAGTTTTCACTTTTCAGTGTTTGGTAGTATCAATTGACCATTACCATTTTGCCTTTATTTGATGTTATATTCTTATCTCGTGTAATTATGGTCTAAATCTAAACTATAATGTCCAATCTTTCTTTAGTGGCTCGTTTGGGGGCGGGGAGGGGAGGTATAATATTTGGATTTTGACCAAATATACTGTTAGTCATTAGGTATCTAAGTCAATATTTACTTTGGGAGGAAAATGCTATGCAAAACTTCGTCTATGAAAATCATTAATCTACAGTCTATTTCTGAATCCAACTTGACTATCAACTTGTCTGAAACAGGAGCAACTATAAATCTTGATGAATCACAACATGATCAAACTTAGAACTTTATGAAATTTAATCCTTATATTGATTGGACATATGATATGATCAAATATAATGATATAATTCATTCATTTTTTTTAAAGTCTTTACACGTGAGCAAAGGAATTTACTATTCTTTTTCATAAATGAAAGTGAGATTCAATCTGTATTATATCAACCGGCTGATGGATAATTTCTACATAGAATGATGTTACTCCCAAATCACTTCTTCCCTTCTATTTTTCCATAATACATGCTATTTTGTGTTGTAACTTTTCAACATAGGGGTAGCAACTTCATAAAAAAAAATTGTCAATACATAGTAGCAAATATTACTCGTAATAATAAAAGTGTATATCTTGGACTGTGAGCAGAGCATTGCCTCTTTACATATAGACACGTGTATTTTCATCTGCTTAGACATGTATAAAATTAGTTATTTACTTCATATTTGTATTAATTTATGTAAGGTTTTGAAGGAAAAGAACCCAAATTGGCTGCAGTAGTTACACTGGCATCGTCTCTGGACTACACATCATCCAAATCAACTCTAAAGTTACTCTTACCCCTAGTAAGTGGATGATGGTATAGTTGCTTTTGGTTTCTTCCTGTATAGATTTAGTGATTAACTTGCCATAATATCTGTGAAGGTATTAAATTTAATCACTTGTTGAACAGGCAGATCCAGCACAGGCTCTAAATGTCCCTGTTGTTCCTTTAGGGGCAATGCTGGCAGCAGCTTATCCTCTTTCATCTCGTCCACCATATGTATTATCATGGTTAAATACCCTGATTTCAGCTGAGAACATGATGGATCCGGATTTATTAAAAAGACTTGTTTTGAATAACTTCTGTAAGTATTTCTATCCATTGGAAATCTAAAATTATTCATTTGCATACAACTAAATAGCTTAAGCTTTTAGGAGGGTTGGTTGTAAACATGGTACCAGAGTTGCTTTGAGCAAGTGACTAGGAGTTTGATTCTTGTCCCCATACTTTTGAATTTTGGCACAAAATGAAATGCTTGAGCATTGGCTTTTTTGTGACAGCGTGGGATGTAGTTCTTTTGGAATGCTGGGTAGTACCCTTTAGATAGTAAACTTCCTTTTGGAACCAGTAGTGATAAGCCAATATGGCAATATCTGGGTTGTCATTTGACAACTATGTTGTTAAATTGCAAATTGACTCTTTTTTTTTTTCTTTATTATTGAAATTCAATTCATTCCCAAAGCCCATTTGATATTTTAAAGGATGTAGAGTCAACAGCTTGATCTTTGGATTAATATTATCAATCTATCATGCCAATATTGAATTATTCCTTGGTCATTTGTATTCTCTTAAGAAAGTGTGCAGGAGCAATCCATTCTTCTTATCTGTATTATAAGTGTCAAATCTTGTGGAATACAATACATTCTATTTGGAATTAACAGTTGGATTTCATTTACTTGTTGTTTTGGACTCTTACCAGAACCTCTGTTTGGTGTGCCCTTCTTTTTATACATTATTATTTTACAGAATCTTGAGGGAAGATATTCAGATGGACAAGAATTAATTATATAATTTCATTTAAGCTTGTTAAGATGAATAGGATGATGAAAAGGCAAAATAATTCCTCTGCTCTCACTAGGACCTTGAAAACATAGATAAGATATTAAACTAATAAGGAATGATTTAATGAACAAGAAGTGATATTTGATTGGTTTCATTAAAATTAAGTGGTACAAATATCGTAATCCTGCTGGATGCCTGGATGTACTTTCTAGACATTGTTACTTTTACTACAACAGTACAACCAACGAGTAGGATATTCGGAGTTAGAGCTTTTTTAGTCTGGAATGACACTGGTATAGGCAATGCACATAAAATTTTATTCTTTATTTAAGCAAATTATGTATTGACTAATCAAAATATTAGTATGTGACTTTCGTATGATACAATAACAACTTGTAGGCACCATACCCGCAAAACTTATCTTGCAGCTCACTTCAGCATTTCGAGAACGTGGTTTATGTAACAGAAATGGGACTTTTTCTTACAAGGACCATCTACACAAAAGCAATATCCCTATCTTAGCTATTGCTGGAGACCAGGATCTGATTTGCCCACCTGAAGCTGTGGAAGGTATTCTTTTTTAATCATAGATGGTGATGTTATTTTCCTGTTAATTACGTTGTTTCAAGAAGTGAATAAAAGTTATTTTATGAGCAGAAACCGCTAAGCTAATTCCTGAGCACCTGGTTACGTATAAAGTTTTTGGAGAACCTGGAGGCCCACATTATGCTCATTATGATTTAGTTGGAGGAAGACTGGTATGAACTCGCTCCTTTGGTTGTTGTTGTTAATGTTATTCTAGATTAGAAAATTGTTGTGAAGGAAAGAATAACATGCTCAGTTTTACATTGTATTGGTTATGATGGCATTTTCTCGCAGCTTCCCGTTCTATTCACACCTTTCTTCTCCAGTTCATTTACTCTTACCATTTTTTTCTTTCCTTTTGCTCAAGTATTAATTTATCTTCCATTTTTAATTGGCTTATTGAAGCTTTGCTTGTTTTTTTTCGTATCAAGAATTTGTTTGACATAAATAATTGGTCTATATTTATATATGCCTACTGGCTTCTGCTGCTTTCTTTGTGATGTCTTTCTATGCTTATTTTGAGAACAGGCAGTGGAGCAGGTGTATCCCTGTATAATTGAATTTCTTAGTTGTCACGACAAGTGATGTACTCCATCAATTTTCATCAAATACATTCTTCTTGGATCATGCTTGATAATTACATTCCAAACAGGTGTGAGACTCTTATTGACTTTTGTACATCACGTTAAAGCTTATGCAGCACTCGCCTATGTGATTGTTGATGGTACCGACAAGATTATTTGTTTTGTCATTTTACTAGGTACATTAAACAATGAAGAAAAGGTGAAAGAATTGATCAGACCTTTTGTGCATTAGAGCAAGAGGGTTCCGCTTTTTTTGTTTCCTAACCATAGCAGCAAAAGGTCGAGGATATAGAAATAGGAATGATGAGGAGTCTGTAATTTTTTTTATTATTGCAGTATTGCCTCTTAATTGCTAAAAGTATATGTACATAATTTCTTACCAGATGCAGTTTTTATGTGACTATAATTAACCTGCCAGTTTCTTAAATTTGTTTTACCAACACACGTGTGCTTGATGAAGCTCCTCCGGTCCGAGTTCCAAGACATCTATGATGCCCGGTATTTCAAAATTTGTTACATTCGTTTAGGATATTAAGTGGTCAAATTTCGGTTTGATTTGGTTTTTACACAAGATAATCACCTGAACAAAACATAAAATTAATATGCAATATGCAGTTGAATTTGATTCGATTTAAATTTAATATTAAATCCGATCTAAATTATATTGAGTTTTGGATCGTTTTTTTTTTTTTTTTATGAATTGAATTTGTTTTTAATTTGGTAACTAATAAGATAAATTGATATAATTGAAAATCTACCAACCACTTGAGTTCTGATTAGCTCTTAAAAAATCATGTGATATTGATGATATATACCATCAAAATTATTTACAACTGAACCCTTGACTGACATATATAGCCAAAATTAAAGGTGTCGAAAAGTAATTACAGTATATTGAAGGTGTGATTTGATTTGGTTCAGTTTGATTTTAATAACAGGTATCTAAAATCAAATCAAATTAAAATAAATGGATTATGTTATTTAGTGGGCTGCATTTCTAGCTAATGTTGTAAGTCTTGTATCTTGAGAGAAGCATAGGTGGCTAGATCAATAGGTCGAGGAGAGCGAGAAGATGATGAACTCTTAAATACACTAACACTATGATTGGTTGTGAAAGAAAAGAAAGTAGAAAGAATAAAACAGAAGAAAAGAAAGAGAGCAGTGAAATTATTTTTTAATTGTTTGGTACGGAAAAAAAATAGAAAGAAAATAAAATTTCTCAGAAGAAAGAAGAAAAATGTATATTTATAAAATGGCACAATACCCTTAGGTAAAAATGGGATGTAATAAAGAAAATAAAAATAAAATATTAAGAATGTATTATTTTAAATTAATATTTTATTATTTTAATATCATTAAATAAATTGTTGTAAAAAATATTATTAAATAAATTAAAAACGTCATGTTTTAAATAATAGTAATCCGAAGTACTTTTATTAACATTATTAAAAAAATTGTTTAACTTTTTAAAATAAATATTTCTTTCATTTTTCAAACTATTTTTAGATTTTTAATTAACTAAAATATATGTATATGTTTATTATAGTAACAACATGAAGATATTTTTGATACGAATGCAAAATAGCGGTTGCAAGTTGCAACTTGCAATATTGCATACATATTCACCATTCTCGGATGTGAAACTACTTTTTTTTTTCAATGCTGCATAAGTGACGGGCAATTTTGTCTTTTTATTTTAAAATAAATTCATATTTTCTCTTTCCATTTCTTCTTATATTGTAGGCCACTCCACTACTAAATATTCTTTGCTTCTCTTTTAGCATAACCAACCAAAGACAAAAATATTTATTTCTCTTCTTACCTTCCCTTTCTTTTCTATTCCGTTGATTTTAATGTGTGCCAAACTCATTGTTCTTCTACACTAGACACCTAGTTGCACTTGGATCTATAGATCTTCGATAACTAGTCAAGAATAAACCAAATAAGTAAACTAGACATCACATTCAACTCAAAATCTTTATGTATTAAGTTTATAAGTTCTTACTTCTAATATGTTCAACTTGTTCAATATCTGATTCTAATATGAAACTTCTTTTTCAAATTATTTGATCTATTTTTTATCAAGTCATCATCCCAGGAATTGTCTAAATCAACCGTTGGTTTTACTTAAAACAATTGCTATAGCGGAAGTCAGTACTCAAGAAGTTGATGTCAAATGTTCTTTTGCTAATAATTAAGCCTGCTGACAAGAGCAAATTTTGAATCAGTGTGCATTTAAAACACTGAGATATCTTTCTTACTTATCAGTATTAAAATGTCAGATACCATATGCCTCCTTTATTATATCTGATCCAGGAATGCTAATATTACCCGGGAGACACATACAGAAACTCTTTTTCTGTAATTCTAATCTATGCGGCTTGTTGAGATCATATTAAATTAACCTATTTTAATTTAGTACCGATATTAAACCCAACATTTGTTTTCTGTACTTGTATATGCCACAAAAAAGAAGAACAAGAAAAGACATTTCCTGCCAAAGCATAGTGGCATGGGATGTTGTGATCTGACCAGATCTTTGTTCCCTTGAAAAATGGTAGACCTGTCATATATGGATAACTCCACAAATATTCAAATGTGAGCTTTATGCATATATCTTCGCGTTGCTTAGATAAGTTCAAGGACTAACTTGTAAAATATTAAAAATCCAAACCCTAAACCCTAATAATCAAGTCAACTTATATACGCTTTTTAAATAAAAACTCACTTCTGTGCATGTTAATGAATCCCTATAATCATGTCATATTGGATTCAAGTGTTTCATTAATCTCTGCAAATGGACATGAATTTTCTTCTGACAGAAAATGCTGATATTTAAAACTATTGCTTATTTGGACATGTATTATGTATTGAAATTATTTTTGCTCATGCTTCTTCATTTACATAATTACATCACTTTTTCGTCTTTTTGACTTCAAAGTATTGCAATGATTGACTTCTTTGCATGACCAGAACACATGTGAATCCCTATGCCAGAATTGGAGTGATGTGTAAAATGATGCACAAAAATGTGTTTTGCAAATATTAGTATCCATTATGCATTTAACCTATGAAGAGAAAAAAGGATTCAAGGTTAATTATGAACCATTATAATTAGATTATTACTACATATATGTTGCTAGAAGATTACCAAAACAAGCCTATCATATATGTTGGTATGACCCAGTTTAATATTCATTAGTATTTTCCATTTGCTGTGTCCTCGGGTTACTATCACCATGAAATATAGTCATAAAAGAGTCTGAGCATTTGTAGCAATGTGAGGAAGCAGAATCCAGAATAACTTCTGTTAGGATCAATTTGGCCATCCTTTGTTCTTGGGATGTTTTGTTTTTACCTTGTGTTCCATGTTGACAGTAACAGAAGATAAGCTTTGAGCATTTAATGATTGATAATGGAGGACGCTTCCTTGTCTTCCATGTGCTCTTTCATGTCTCATTTAGATTCTCAAAATTATCACTATAAATAGGTAAGTCTTACAAATGCAACTCACTACCAACAATACCTACCTTAAGGAATTAAGTCCAGCAGTAGTTTCCAATGGAATCAAACACATCAAGCTTTCTTTTGAACTCTTCAACTTTGCACTCAGTTTTCTATCAAGACAAACAAGATGATGGCATAATTGATCTTGGTCTTAGTCTCGGAACTGTTCATCATGAAGCTTACCATTCTTCTGCCAACCGTATGGGTTCATTCCCTCCTTCATTCTTTTAATTCTGCTTCTCTTCTAGTTTTCCATACCCCATTTAGTCTGATATTTTTTAATTATAAAAAGAGTAAATAGTGTGTGTCATTGCATACATAAAGAATTTTAGCATTGTCTAGGATAATTTTGTTGACTTTTATAATAACTATTTTTAGTATCACGTTTAACATAATTTCTAATTGATTTACAGTGCAGAATATATATTCTATTGAAAAATCATAATTCCATTAGTCAGTAATGTGTAATGATTTTTTGTATGTTGATGATTCAGCTAAGACCGAGTTATATTACTCACATTGTAGAATGAAACGAACTAATAATTAACGTTCAAATTGTAACATCAACTGTATGAATTTATTTAATTTTCCTCCCTCTCACGAGCAGTTGTCATATATGGTCTAATGAAATTATATTTGGATTCAGTGTATGATGGTGACCTTATGGATTGGCCTCACTCTAATCTAAATATCAAGAATTCAAGCACAATGCATTCTAGATCTGTCCCCGAAAATTTTGATGAAGAGATAGAAGGGGTGCAGAGCAATGAAAGATGGGCTTATGTGAAGGTTAACATGGATGGGGTTACCATTGGTAGGAAAATTAGTGTACTTGATCATGGTGGATACTCAAGTCTAGCACTCCAATTAGAAGACATGTTTGGTAATTAAGCAGAGTCAATAATGCATACACTTCCAAGATATTTTTCATAATTTTATTTAACTAGTTACATAACATGTTTCTAACTGACTATTTTACCATTGTAGGAAGCCAATCTGGTTCTGGATTACGATTGTTCCAATCTGAATCAGAGTACTCATTGTTCTACAAGGACAGACAAGATCATTGGAGGCCTGTCGGTGATGTACCATGGAAGTAGGTCCCATTTGACATGCCAACTTTCCTAGGTCATTTTAACAATAATTCTAACTCTTTTTTTTTTTTTTTTTTTTTTTTGTCGCAGAGAGTTTATAGAATGTGTGAAGAGGTTGAGGATTGCAAGAAAGAATGATGGCATTGTTTCCTGTTCATCTAGATACACCTAAATCTTGCCTTAGTTTATAGTAGAAATTAATCAAAGTTTGTTTTGACGTCCTTCGCTTAAGTTGTTTGGCCTTGATGGATTCAATTAGTGCACATGGTAAAGGAAACGTACCGTACGGGATATGTAATCATTAAAATTTTATACTTGGTGCCTCTGGGGTCCATCGCTGTAGTACCACATTGTTGCGTTAAATTGATACTATATAGTAAAAATACCAATGACTTTCGAACAACTGTTCTCCAAATTTTATGCTACTGGTTTGGAAAATACAGCTGTCTGAAGTTTGCTTTCACTGTGGCAATGACATGTTTTCAACCATTGGCTTAGATCAGACACCACACTTCTTCTTTCATACTCATCTTGAGTGTAATTAGTTTAGGTAACTTAAAAAGATTATTTTACTTTTTTTATTTTTTATTCTCAGCACTTTTTTGTCTGCAAAATAAAAGTTTGTATATCATATAAATGTTTTTCAATCGGTCTAATTAAAAAAAATGGTTTGGATAAATAATTTAATGTTTTTTAATTAAGGATTAGAGTTTGATCTTCTTATTTTTTATAATAAAAAAAATTCCAATTTGTTGTTAAAAGCATTGGTCCAAGAAATAAGGTCACAAATATAAGTATATAACTGTACAAAAGTTTATAGTTTTAATATTTGAGCTTTGGCATTAAATTGTCTGCAAACCATGTGAATATCGAACTGGGAGAAATGCTGTCTCTCTCAAAGTCAAAAAAATCAAAAGAATAATGAGAGTCATAAGCAGTTAAATAGAAATGACAGCCAACAATTTTCGCACCTATTGTTTGGTTTGGTTGGAGTCCATTTTCCCTAAATTCGCGCCACATGCTTCGGCCATTAATTTCAATCCCAAAATCTACAGGTCTAGTCACCAAAATCTTATAAAATATACATGCATCTTAGACTTAATTAGAGATCAACATGATTAATATAATTATAAAATTAATTCAACTCTTTTAATTTATCATTTTTCACCTTAGAATAATCAAAATTAAGAAATTGGAGTTTTTATTGATTTATTGGTCCGGTTATATATAAAGAATAAAGACAAGACTTTCTTTCTTTACAACACTGGCATATTACGATATGTGACAAATTCATTATAGATTCTTGCAATAAAAGAACTATCATTTAAGGGGTAAACAATTTTAATGTGGAATTTTGACTTTGAAACTCATCACTTTTGTCTTTAATTTGTTATTCTTTCGCTTAATCATAAAGATTGTGAAAGAAGGGTACAATATGATAAATACGTACTACAGTCAATCGTATGGTTCATTTAGCCCTATAAAGTCGATAGTTAAAAATCAGTGAAAAATCTATCACCAAAACTAATGTTTTTTCTGAACTAATATAAATACAGACAGGTTCATAAATGAATCAATTTTTTTATCAACGATGAATCACATATAATCAAAACTGATAATAATTAAATATAGATTTTATTTTATAATATATTTAATAACAATAATACAGAATCATAAGAAAAAAGTTTGTTAAATTAATCATCCTGATAAAATAAAATAAAAAAAGCAAATAAGAGTAAAATTTATTAAATAATTATAAATTAGCATAATTATTAAAGATGACCTAATAATAAAAGATTGAGATAGTATATATAATATCCTAAATTCGAACATAGTTGTTATTCTCATAATTTTATAAAGTGAATATTACTAATAAACACTATATATAACTTAAACAGATGATTTATAAATTAATATATTAATAGTTGAAATATGTTTTAAATTTTTGCAAATATTACTCTATCTTGTTTTAATATTTATAAAATATTTTTTCATTTTTAGATTATTAACAATTTCTTAGTGTTCTATTTTAGTCTTTATCATTAATTCTAGTTAGTTTAATATAAAAATTACAAGAATAAAAAATATTAATTAAGATAATTAAAGTAATAAAAAAATTAAATTAAGATAATTAAATTATTTTTACAAGGATAATTTAATTAAGTAATATGTTTATTATTTTATATAAATAAGGTAGTTATATATAATTTGCTTTTATAATTTATTTATTTTTTAATATATTAAAATAGTAATTTTAATTGCATTTAATATTGTTCTTATTTTTAATTTTTTTAATAATTTTACTTTTTAAAAAAAATTGCAATTATTAATTCACTTTAAAGCTTATAATGTAATGGAATTGGTAATTTTCGATGACTAAAACAAAATAATGATATTAAATATATATTTAAGTCGATATTAAGACATTTAACAATGAACTTACATATTAATGCTTGTTAAGGGAGGAGAGCGAAGCAGCGGTAAATGTTTTAGTAACCGAACGGGTCACCGACAATTTTACTTATTTAATAAGTATAGTAATTAAAAAGCAATTAGAGTGGGTCATCTCATCTATACCAATTATTAATTTGCCTAATTCTCACTGCAACCAATATTAACTGACAATAAATAACTTGTTAGTTTAGTTTGATTTCTATTTAAAAACTTTAACTCAACTAACAACATTTACTGAAGTAATAAATATTAAGTTGTAAGTATCTACTTAAAACCTCTTAACTTTTATGTAGGTAGCACATGTAAATGTTCTTCTCATTATCTATTGCGATACTTGTAAACTTGGCTACTATTTAACTTATTGTTTTTAATACTATCTTTTATTATAAAAAAATTATTTTGACTTAGTTATGTGATATTTTTTATAAATAGTTTATCATTTATTAAATATAATTAAATTTATTTTAAAATAATTTAATTTAAATAATTTCTTTTTTATTCATAATTAATTTTTTTGAATGAATATACGATTTTGAAAAAATATTAATAATTATATATCTTCTACACATATCTTTTTATCTACTTTTTCTTATATATTTATTATTTGCTTTTCTTAGTGTCGTTTTTTAACATATTTAACTTAATTGGTTTCGTAAGTTAGTTTATTATTGTCTAAATTGCTATTATATTTAACAACTAATACTATATATCTTACAATTTTTTCTTATTTATCTCTTCCTATTACTTCATAAAAATATAAAATAAAAAAATATTTTTTACAACATAAATAAAAATATCTTACACATATGAAAAAGCATTTAATAAACATGTTTATTATATTTATATTATTTTTTAAAATAAATAATATATATAAATAAATTTATTTTTATTCTTTATTATTTTTAGTATTATTTAATATTATTATTCTTTTTTATCTCACTAACTTTTTCTCACTTTTAAAGAGAAATTTTTTCAAAAAGATCCACACCAATTTTTTGGCACTTTTCTTCGATTCATCTTTATCAAATAACATTCATTTTTTAATTTTCACACACATATTTTCTCTTTCCTACTATTTTCTTCTACTTTTTCATTTGCAAACGTACCCTTAACAATGCAAAAGGCGAATGATGCGCCAACCCCTTTATGATAGTGATAGTGACTCATAGATAGGGATGGGAAATATAACTTTACACGCGGGTAATATCTGAACCCGTCCTGACTTTGATGAGAAATACCTAATTTGGTCGGGTACGGATATGGATAAAATCTGATATATTAAATAGGGTACGAGTACAGATACGAGTATGTACTTACCCATCCCGTACCCGTACCCGTCCTCGTTCCTATTTTTAATTTAATACTCACTTTCAATTTAATTATATTAAAAAAATTTAATATTTTTTTAATGTGTGATTACTTATTATAATATAAAATAAAAAAATAACCTAATTATAATTATAATATAATTAAAAAATAATTTTAAAATATTATATTTAAAAAAAAATAAAAAAATAAAAAATTTGACGGGTACAGATACAGATACGGGTATACACGATACCCGACAGAAACGGAAATGGAGAGAAAATTACATATCCGATAGATACGAGTATGGGGACGGAGATGAATTTAGCTTGCGAGGACGGAAACGGGTATCATGAAACCTGTACCCGCCCCGTTCAATCCCTCTCATAGAGCTTAAGAATAAAACGTCCAATCAGTTAAGTAATGTTTATAACAGTTATTTCTAGCTAAGTGTCTGAGTGATGCGATGAGATCACGGATTAGGAACCCAATCAAACTCCTTCCACCGTCCTCACCAACACGATGGAATGCAAGACTGAGACATAACAAGAATAAATAAAACCACCGTTCTTTTCACATCAATGTAGTACAGTGAACATTAAAGACTTCCACAGTAAACAGATGACTTAGATTAAATTATATAAACAAACTAATTTCGATCATATGCAAGTTAAATTATATATACAACAAAATTTCAATCCATTCATAGATTTCAAGTTAAAATTATCAAATTAAGGTAGTGTAATGATTAGTCTAACTTATAATTTGATATCTCCTCATTTGTGTGTTAAAATGCTAGGATAAAAGTAATGAGCCCCCATAGCATGTCATGTCATGCAGTACACGATACATGTCATGTCATGCAGTGCACAACACTATAGCTAGTTTAAAATTTGTAATCTCAGATGATCTAAAATGAAGTGCTTATAATATGTTTAACAATTTTGTACTCAATCATTAAATGTGAATTATAAGCAAATGTCAGTTGTTGTCTTTCTTTTTTTTTTTTTTAAATTGATTTGCCTCAACTTAACTTTCTAATTATGATTCAAATTTCAAACACACTATATCAGAAAAGTTTATATTTGCTAAAAACAAATTCAATTTCTCTTCTACTGATCCAATTACAAGGATTCATCAACTTGAAGACATTCATTTAAATGTGACTAAGAGTAAAGGCATAAAAGAGCTTCACAAATGAGCTGGATTCACAGTGCAAGGCCCCATGAAATTTCTCAATCAGAGGAAATGGTCAATCTATCCAAAGCATCAAGAACATGCCTCATTGTAGGTCTCTTTTCAGGGCTGTTATGGACACAAGCCATCGCAATCTTCAAAACCCCAATAATCTCCTCCTCCCTATCTGCATCTTCAGCCAAGTAAGGGTCCAACACCTCTAAGAGTGGCTTCTTTTCCTCAATGCAGAACTGAATCCACTGAACAAGGTCCATTTCTGAGTTACCAACTTGGACAATGGATGATCTTCCTGTAATCATTTCCAACAATATCACACCATATGAATAAACATCCCACTTCTGTGATGGCTTCACCATTTTCAGTGCTTCTGGTGCCTGATAACCGTTTCCCAAAACATTGGCTGTGACTTCAGAGGACATGCTCTTTTGTCTTCCCTGTACTTTCTCTACAGCCACTCGGTTGGATTGCAAGGTTGGGGACCCTCCAGCGATGTTTGCAAGGCGACCAACTCCAAAGTCAGAAATGTGAGGTTCCATGTTATGGCCAAGAAGTATGTTACTTGGCTTGAGGTCTCCATGGACATATTTTTTGGGGCTAAATTCATGCAGATAGACCAGTCCTTTTGCAGTTCCTTTCATGATCTTCAATCTATAGGACCAAGATAGTGGTGTGAATGTGACAATTCCGGCCTTCCCTGAAAGTATAGAATGGAACCAAACAGTCAAATGATCAAAAAATGTGCTAGGATAGGCCAAAAGATCAGAAATGGCCAATAAGTGGGAAAAAAGAAATAAAAAGGTTGTGCTTAACAAAAGTTACCATGAATTGCTGTATCAAGGCTTCCATTGGGTATATAATCATATATGAGAAGCTTCTCGTCAACAGACCAGTAATAGGCTCTTAGAGTTGCAATATTTGGATGTCTTAACTTCCCTATTGCTTCTACTTCTGTTTGGAACTCTTTAAACCTTTGAGAACCTCCCTCCCCCAGTCTTCTCACAGCCAAAGCAAGTCCATCTTCAAGTACCACTTTGTACATAATCCCTATTCCACTCTTACCCAGAACAAAAGCTGAAGCCTTGAGAAGCTCATCCAAATCAAAGGTCACATGGGAATCTAATGGGACAAGATCATATTGCTCAACATTGTTATCAGATAGGGCCTCAGATTCATCTTTCCTGAAGCAGAAGCACTCTTTACTTCCTTTCCTTCCCTTGCTAACACCATTTTCATCCAGATCCTGGTTAAAGCCACATACCCTTGAGTAGCAAAAAGAGAACAGCAAACCTAAAAGACAAATTCCAATTATATCACCCACAACAATGCCAACCACAGCTCCCTTGCTTAACCCTTTGCTTTTCTCACCTCCAATGGAAACATTACCACCCTGAGGTGGGTAGTTATCAGGAATAAATGGAAATGAGGAAGGTGAAGTAGCAGATGGAGTATCAGAACCACATGAGTTCTTCAAAGGAGGACCACATAGACCAGGATTGCCAATGAAAGCAGTTGGTCCTCTATTCATTAAAGCACCATTTTGGGGTATTGGACCACTTAAATTGTTGTAAGTAAGATCAATGTAAACCTTCTCAGGCAGATTACCAAGGCTAGTTGGGATTGAACCACTAAAATGATTATGAGACAAATCAACAGTTCCTTGCAGGCTCGACAGGTTTCCCAAATCACTAGGAATTGACCCATTGAACTGATTGAAAGAAAGGTCTAGTCTTTCCAGAGAAACCAGACCAGTACCAAACCTATCTGACAAAGGGCCAGTGAAATTGTTCTGACTGAGAACAAGGGTTTTGAGCCTCTTGCATTGGACAATTGCAGCAGGCAATGACCCATTGAAGAAATTTTGTGATAAATCAAGAGTTTGAAGGTACCTGAGGTTCTGAATCTCAGTTGGAACCGACCCAGAAAATGAATTACCATAAAGCACCAGACTTTGCAGTCCCTGAGCCTGAAAGAGCTGTGCAGGCAAGTTTCCAAAGAGCTTGTTGCTCCTGAAGTTGACATGGCGGAGCTGGGAGAGAGATCCTAGAGAAGAGGGAAGAGAGCCATAGAGCTTCCTCTTTGGGATGCTAATGGACACAACGGTTTGGTCCTTGCAAGTGATCCCATTCCATGAACAAGGGTTCTCATCAGAAGAGTTCCAGTTACTCATGGAGCCTTGTGGGTCTGTGAGGGACTGTTTTAGTGTCAAAAGCACAGAGCCTTCGGCATTCAGAGAATGCACAACAGGTGCAAGAGAATTGCAGCATAGAAGAAAAAAAAGGAAAACGAAAGGAAGCATTTTTTTTCTGCCCCCAACTAAGTAACCGTTGGAGGAAATCCAGAACACAAGGGAAAGAAGAGGGTCAGTGAAAGTGAGGCAAGGTTGGCGTAGGTGGTTTGAGTTTCGGAAAAGAGAACATAACAGAGAGAAAGAGAAGTGAATGCAGGGTAGGGTGGTGAAAGAGAAAAGCTTGAACAGTATGATGAGAAAGGAAGTGTTGAAGAATGGGAAAGCTAGACCAAAGCCTCGGAGAGAGTTACATTACAATGTTATTGGTGAGAGACAGCGGAGAGAGAGAGAGAGATAACACACTCACCGCATATCGCGATATCTCTTTTCATCAACGTGTAAAACTAAAAGTGACTGAAAAATATGTAATTAATTACAAGCTGTTAAAGTTAACCGGTTCTAACTCAGTTGATTTACTTAATTGAAGGTGTATACGAATTATCGTAATTTTATGAATAGAAAAGGTTAATTTATTAAATTTAAAATATTTGATAAATATAAAATGATAAAAATAAGTAAGGTGGTGTAATCTTTAATGACTTCCAATTTTACAAACTAGATCTCACTTGTCTCAAAAATTAAAATATGTTTGTACATCAAAATGTCATTCTAGATCTTGAGAAAGAAAAAGGTTGAAAGAAGAGAAAAGTGACATAAAATATTTAAAAAAATGTCAAAAACCAAAAACAATTGGTCTATAGTCTATACAAACCCAACTAGTTATGCACTGGTGTTTAAAATTAATTTATTACTAAAAGATAGCATGAGCAGTAAAGAGCGATTCTGATTTTCTTGTTAGGGGGGTCCGCTGCTACCACGTGTCAGTGCACCGCTCAATACATTACGGAGCCATTACAAATTTACGAAAATCCCACGATACGAAACGGATAGGGAGGCGATAAAATGACGGTAAATTGGCATGTGACAGTGAAGCGCGCAAATAACCGCTCCTGTCGCAGGACGCTACGCTACGGGGTGAGTTAGGCTAGTCTCCATTGACTAAACTTTACATTTCACATTTTAATTAATTTTGTTAAATTCTAAATTAAATGGATACCAAATTATCCAACACAATTTCCAGATTGCAGGAGACCTCACATTCATGCAAGTCAATATTTTTTAATTCTATTTTTAGTATATTTATAGGATAAATTATTTATTTTTATTTCAAAATAAAATGATTTTAATTATTATCTTTTAATTATATATATATTTTATTTAATTTAAAATATATCATATACTTATAGGTTGTATTAAAAGAAAGAGAAATTAGAGTGAAAGTTAAATTAATAAAATAAAATTAGTTTCAATACAAATGATGATATTCATTACTTTGTTCATTGTTTTTATTACCTGACATCATCAATTCTAGAAGAAAATTTTAACTGCATTTATTTATTAGCGTAAAAAGACGTTTTTGTGTTTATGTATGTTTGTTTTAAAAAAAAATTGAAATAAGTGATAAAAATAATTGAAGTTAAATATGTGTATGCAGTTAATAATTAAATATATAAGTAAATTTTAGTAGTTATTTAAGAGGTGTTGGAAATTGAAAAAATAATTTTACAAAGAAGATTCTTAATTTGAGTAATGTTTGATGATATGAATTGACGTTCATTTTTTTTAAGTAAATTAATTTATTTTGATTTTGAAGTGAAGGAAAAGTTAATTTGTGAGTCTATTATATGCACTTTCATGTTATCAAACATGACTCAAATTATGAGTCTTTTATCTTACTCACGTTGGACGTAAGATTAGTTACATCAAGTGTGAAAAAAGAAAATAGCATATGACTTGATCACCTCAAGTTTGAGGTGAGAGATTTGTCTCTAATTTTGTAATGTCAAGCCCCAAGTTGTGTGACGCTTAACATGACTAAAATAACTTGAATGACATTAAACGTCAATGAAATAAATAATTTAAAATAATATTATTATTTTAGTTTTTAATTAAACTATTTATTTAAAAAAAATTATATCTAGTTTCATTTTTTTAAAAAGTATAATTTCACTTTTTAAACTAAGGATTTGATAGTAAATTGCTTTATCATATAATATCTCTTATTTATCATGTATTTATAAGTGTATAAACTATTTATTATGTATTTATAAGTGCATAATATCTCTTATTTAACTTAATGTATAAAATAATAAAATGAATACAAATTATATCATTATATACTGTCCAAAATTTCTGTTTAATCTCTTATATTTTGTATATTTAGTTTGTCATTTAAACTTTTTTTTTTTAATAAGGAGGTGTGATGACTTCTATGGGGAAGATGGAGGTGTGGTCCACGTGGATATAGAGAAAAGTAGTAACGGCAACAGGAGCGTGACCGTTTCGCTCCATTGAGCCCCACCCACCATTTTATTCCTTGGCTAATCTCTATAAAAAAAATTATTATTATTATTATTATTATTTTTAAAAAATTATTAAAGAGCTATAAAACCCTTATAATAATTTCTATAAAACCTTTATATGTAGTTTTGTACTTTTCAACCTAAATAATTAACTATACTAATAATAACAATACTTTTATTAACTCTTCATCTTTAATAACAATTTTTTTTTGTAATTTTCACTATTGACATGAAATATATGTGTCCTGTGAGACCCCCCGTACGGACTTCCTTTCTTCCTCAACTCTCTTACTCTCTAACTCTCATTTTCTCCTTACTCCCTCTTGTACTTTGGATCTCATTCTTCACTCTCTTCATTTTGCTGATTCAAGGTGGTAGTGCAGAGTAGCTATGGTTTCCTAGTTGAGTTACGGAATTTTCTTTTCTCCTCCTTCGGATTTTTCAAGTTATTCTTCAACCCTCTTCTCGATTTCTTCATCCCGAAGCTCAGAATCTTCTACCGAGGTAAGGGAAGCTAGTTATTTTGGCTGTTTTTGACGTGGAATGAGTCTTCGATACTCCTATGCTATTTGTTAATGGATGATTTCTGGCTAAGATGGATTAAAATTGAATTTTTGGGGTTTTCAGAACTTTGAAGGAATTTTGGGATTTTCATGATTTGTGTTTGCATGTTGAAAATGAGCTGTTTTTATTAATATTTGATGAGAATTAGAACTTTTGGTTGGATTGCATGGGGATTTTCTGTTAAGTTTTGCAGGATTTGGAAAATTTTCGAACTTGGGGAGAGTTGCTGCTGAGTTCGCGCTGGGCACTGTTCTTCGTGCCGGGCGCGTGACCACCAGTGGACTCTATTTAGGCAAGCCCGCCGGGCGCAAAGCTGTGTGCGCCGGGCGAGCTTGCAAATGGGAGTCTCTGGTTGGCTCGCGCCGGGCGTGACTTGGGCTGCGCCGGGCGCGATATCAATGGTGACATGTCTTGGGTACTCTGGTGCCGCGCTAAGCGCGCGTTTGGACTCGCTGGACGCGGAGGCTCCTTGGGAGTCTCTGCCAAGAGAGCGTTGGGCGCAATGCGAATTGTGCCGGGCGCGAGACCTTGGTAGGTCTCTACCTTCCCCACGCTGGGCGCGGGTTAGGCCACGCTGAGCGCACGAGACTCCTTAGAGTCTCTGCCTGGTAGGCGCTGGGCGCAATTGGAATTGCGCCAGGCGCGTGAGAGCCTTGGACTCTCAGGTTGAGTCTCGTCGGGCACGAGTACTCTTACGCTGTGCGCGCTGGCCCCTGGTGCTCTCGGGTTGAGCCGCGCTAGGCGCGACCTCGAGTGCGCTGGGCGCGCAAGGAGATATTGACATATATGTTGTTGGATGTTGAATTGCGCTGAGATTGTTAATCAATGTTGTTGTATGCTGAACTAAGTTGTATTTGATGTATACGCCTTGCTGACTAGGTGATAAAGCTGAGATAATAATGTTTAGCTGTATTAGAGGTATATAGTTGAGCTGGAATCGATGAATTAAAATGTTAAATTATAGTATAGTGGAACTATAGAATGTTGGGCTAAGTCAGGAGAAATAAGTGTGTTGAATTGTTGTGCTGTGCTGAGTTGGGTGAGATTATAGCCGCTAAGTCGGTGCTGATATTAGCTACATATGTGGTGCTGTTATAGTCGCTAAGTCGGTGTTGTTGTTGCTGCTTTGCGGTGCCGTTATAGCCACTTAAGTGGTGCTATTATTGCTGCCAAGTAGTGCTGATATTGCCGCATTGCGGTGCTGATACTGTTGAGTGGTATAAGCTGTAGCTGTTGTTTATCATATCGCCATATATTTATATGTTGATTTTTAATTACACTAGCTTACCCTTTGTTGTTTCCATGATGTTTTGACTGCAATGATCATACTATGTATGGGAGCAGAGCAGGGATAGGTGGATGTCTAGTGGTGAGTCTTTAGCGGACCGGTGGAGCTGATCTCTTTTGTGATTATTTTGTTGTTGAGCTACTTGGGATAGTAGCTTTTGATTGTAATTTTTGTACACTTTAACTCTGTTCAACTGGATCATGTATATGTATATTCTAGACTCTATATGTATACAATTATTCTTTTCTGTGCGGTGTTTCTAGTGTGTTGTGCCGTGTGTAGTGACCAGACAGGTCGTTACATGTCCTCACATCCATTAAAATATGCTACCAAAGAATAAAACTCGAGCAATTTACGAGTACAATTTTTTTTTTTCAATTTTTTAAAAGTACTGTTTTTAATTGTTAACCTTCATTTAAATAAGATACAAATAATATGTGTTTCTTATATACGATTATTTTAATGCTCCAAATAAATTTTTATAGTAATATTTTTATTTTATTATTAGTATGAAATATTTATCGATAATTAATATCTATTAGATAATTTGATCAATTATCTTTAATAAAATTTATTCTCTTGATATTTATTTATTTTATTTATGTGACTTAAATGTGAGACTTTATTTAAGCAGTTTTAAAATTTTCAATATATATTATGTGTTTTTTATTTTCATAATTTAAATAATATTAATCATATTATTACCCAATACAATATAGATACCCAGTCATCAAAATTTTCAAAACATTGCATATATTAAAAAAATGTTTTTAAAAATACCCAATTATGCAAATGTGTAATTTTATTCTTTCGAAAAAAAATTATTACAAATTTATTCTTCTAATTTTTAAAATTAAGTAATATTGGTCTAATATTAACATATCATTCAAAATAAATTAAAAATAGTGATGAGTGATACTTCTTTCAATTAGTGGCACTACTTTAAAAAAAGATTTCATATTTAAATATTATAAATAAATAAAAATTTGATTAAGAGATGAAATTCCAACAAATATGTTTACATAGATATTAGTCACTATAAAACACATAAATGATTATAGAAATTTTAGGTAAAATTTTATATCAATAACAAAAAAATATAAACGAACAGTTTGAAAAACATAAGTAAAAAGTGAAAAATAGTGTAGACGAAAAATACAATGTAAACATTGTAATTGTTTTAGAAGAAAAAAAATAATTAACCACCTTTTTTGAGCATTTACTTCACGCCAGTTTTATCTTTAAAGGTTTATCATATGTGAAATAAGCCTTTTAAAAAAATATTTGTGTGTTAAAAAATTATTTAATTTCAAAACTTTTTTTGTTGTTTATATTTTATAATATTGTTTTATATATGCTTTTTTATTATTTTTATTTGTCATAAATTATTTTCTAGTTTTGATAAAAAATTTTAATGATCACAATGATACTTAAATATTTTTGTCTTCAATTTTTTAATACATTTACGATTTTTTATAATCACTAAAAGGATAATGATGATTGATCTAACAATTTTTAACATGTTAATTTTATATTTGGTAGTTGTGAAGTGTCATCATATATTTACCATTTTGAAGCATAGTTTTTTTTATTTTAATTTTGTACTTAACTCCTTCAATTTCATACAACACCATCCAATTTTTTAACCCCATTGAAGTTTCCCTAACACATAACAAGCTCTAATTTCACCATATTCTTGCATCCTTGGTTCAAAATTGTAAATATAATATCAAAAACATCACTTGTAAAACCCTTTAACACCTCTCATTAACTTTAAGATTATGTCATCCTAAAGTGTTGTTAGATGCAAGGATTTTATCAACATCCATGAATGATCAATCATAACATAGATCAAACTGTCGAATTAAAAAAAATTAAGTGCTATCATATGATTTTGTATCTTTTAAGTTCATGAGTCAAAGATAAATGGACTCGAACCGCTGACATCTATTACAGGGTAAATCATCACTTTTCAGACCCCAATTGATTATACTATAAAGACTAATGATAAATAATAGCTTCTCCTAAACACAACTTACAACTGATTAATGATAAACAATAACTTCTCCTAAACATAACTTACAAGTTTCATCATATTTTGCTATCTAAAAAGCAACTATTCTCAAAATATCAATCAATTAAGTTGGAATCTTTTAAATTTTGTAAATTTCTAACACCATAACCTTAGTCCCCAAACAATATAAAATTAATGGGTGGACATAAGTATAAATCATTCGAACTAAACAATTGAATTGAATTAAAATTATAAATCTAATTAGTTAGGTTTACATATCTATTTTGATAATAGGAATGACCTACAACCGAAACATTCAAAGGTAAGTGTGTTTAGCTTATTGGAAAAACTTGTCATCAACCTTAAGAGCATTCACCTTTTAATTTTTTTATTGGTGCCTTTTTTGGGGTAGTTACCTTGTTGTATACTAAACTTAGAATGTATATCTAAGTTTCGGGTAACTACTATATAAATTAACTACTATAAACCTTATGGTGTTAACGTCCAACCAAGACACTTTTTTGCCTATAAGTGGTCAATCTGGATAAATCGACTTAAAGGTGCTCAATTTGAAGTGTTCAACTTGAAAGTGATTAATCTAAGGAAATCAGTTCAAAAGTAGTGGACTTGAAAGTGATCGTTGAAGTGGTCAACATAGGAAGACCATCTCCATAATAAGATATAGGTTGGTCTTGAACGTATGGGTTAGCATCAAGCCGAGCTAGAGGTTGCCTTGAACCATCAAGTCGAACTTAGGTTACTCTTGAGCCGTTAAAGGCCAAAATATGAAAATTTAATTTTTAGACTAAATCTAATTGATTAATCTATTTAAATAAGTGTCTTATTATATATTTTTTTATTTTTTATTAGTAGGTTTAATTTGGATCGTTAAATTTGGACTTATAGTAGAAGATAAATTCATTTAGTTGTACAAGTATTTATCTTTCACGCATGTCACTTTTTTTCATCTCATTTTACTCTTTGAACATGTATAAAAATTCCCAATTTTAATTTAATAATTAATATATTTTATATTTGTAAATTTTTAGTAACATATTTTATAACATTGACAAGTAAATCTATAATATTAAATATTTTATCAGTTAGAGTTAATGACATGACAATATATTTTATAATTTATCTAATGTAATTTGTTTTCTTTTTATCATTTTATTAATTAGAGTTAATGACATGACAATATATTTTATAAAGTGTCTAATATAATATAATAATAAATTTAATAAATCAATCTAAATTAATTAAAATATAATTTGTTTAATTAATTTAAATAAAAAATAAAAAAATAAAATCAATCTAAACAGATTAAAATTAATTGAATTTGATGAAAATATATCTCAAATTCAATTCAATATATATATCAATCCTTATAAAATGATGTTGTTATACTCTTTTGCTATTATTCTTAATACATGATACTTTTTTTATATATATAATTAAGAGATATAATTTCTTATTTATTTAGTCAATTTTAAAAATAATAATTTTTTATTCATATGAATTATAATGTTAGGAATAAAATTTGAACTTATTACTATTATATATATATATATTCTTAATTATTTATCATTAGGCTAACATTTTTTTTCAAGATAAAGAAAATGATTTCTTAATATTTAATACACAAACTTTTATTAATATTATCAGAAAAATATTAAAAAAAACAAAGATGATATAATAAGTTGTCATTAATTTTGTTCGTAAAAGAATAAAGAACATTTTCAAAAATTACAGTAACCACTTATTATAATATATTTATTTGTAATATATGTAACTTAATTTTTTTTTAAAATATTATTAATTTTAAATTATATATTTAATATATATATATATTACATATATTATTTTGTGATATTAATTATTTATATTTTTAATTTTTAATTTAATATATGATTAATATATTAAAAAAAATTATATATTAAATTAAAAATTAATATAAGATATTTCTTTATATAAAATAAAAATAATTTTAAATAAAAAAATTTAAAATGAAAATAAGATATAAATTTATTAAAATTTATAAATATAAAACATATTCAACATAAATATTTTAAAAAAAAATCAATAGAAATCGAGTGAACTTTTGACCCACCGAAGGAACGAGACTGACGGAAAATTGCATCCGAAAGAGGGGAACGACTTGACATCAGATGGTTAAATCGGAAAGAGGGGAAGGAAAGACGAACTGAGGGAGCGAGAATGACGGAAAATTGCATCCGAAGCGTCGTAGAAGCCATTCACTCCTCGCGTTACCAAGCCGTTCTCCATCTCGCCGGCGGAGCTTCTCAGGTTCTCTCTTTCTCTCTGTATTTTGATTGCACTGTGTTGTGTTGTGTTGTGTTGAATGAATCAATAGTTATTGAACGTTATCAGGTGGTAGGTTTATTGCTATCTGTTCCTGGTGCTTCAAATACTGTGCTCGAAGTTGTGGTTCCTTACTCTAAGATGTCTCTCATACAATTACTCGGAAAGATTCCGTCCCAGTTTTGTAGCCAACAGACAGCTGAAGATATGGCTTCATTGGCTTATAATCGCGCTCTTAAGCTCTCCAAACCAGGTTCACTACTTTTTTTTTTTTTTTTTGAGTAAATTTATGTGCTGTGTGAAACATGGATGATTGGTTGGTTTGCTTCAAAACATTTGTGCAAAATGCAACAGTACGAGCTGATTTGGTCTGCCTTTACCTTTTGATTAGGATCCCCAGTTATTGGTGTGGGTTTCACTGGTTCTTTGGCTAGCAGTCGTTCAAAACTTGGGGAACATAGGTATTGTCTACTTTTGCCTTATCTACAAAAATGGTAGGTGAAACCTCACTGTATTCAGTTTCAGCCTGCCCATTTTCTGTTATACTTAACTTCTGAAAAGGTTACCATTGGCCTGGACATTGCCTTACTGCATTGATATATATTAGTTTCCACCTCTCAGGCTTACTGCCATCAGCTTTGGGGATTCAGTTTTGTTTTAACATGTTGTGCCCCTGGTCCTTTATAGAGTTATTTTCCTATTTGTGGCAAGAAATTAACTTTTGCAAGCTAGTATTGTGCGATTAACCGAGCACCACCTTTTGAAACTACCACATGGATTGCAATAGGTGAATTCTACTTCTGATGAGAACAGGGGTGGGTTAAATAACATGCTTGGGTTTGTAGACACTGAGAAGTTGGGTGGGAATTTAAGAAAATAGAGTAAAGCTGCTGGATTGGGACCTTTTGAACAGCAATTAAAATTGATAAAAAACTTATCATCTACATGGGCTTATTATTATCGCAGATATAATGTATTTTCACTGTCCTCTTGCTATTGCCCATGGCTTCATGTGAGGGTATAACTTTTGTGAAGTTGTATTAGTAGAAGGCAATTCTTGGCATAACTGTACGATTGCATGACTCTCTGGATCTTGTTAATTTTCACATTTTCTTTGAAGAGGCTATTTCCGGATTGCACAACTGTGCTCCCCCTCCTCTCCTGAATGTGATTTTGGGAGAAGACTAATCCCTGAACTTCTTTTCTTTTACTTTTATGTTCATTTGCAGATTTTATATGTCAACAAGGACAGCTGACCAACTTTGGATATCAAGAGTGACCTTGACTAAGGTACTCTTATTTGTTCCAATGTTTTACTCCTAACTTGTTGCTAATCATGTGATAAGAGTATATATATTCTATATTATTTATGTGATTTATATTTATTTATTCTACAAACTTAAATTTTAGGGGCATCGCACTCGAGAAGAAGAGGATAGAGTTTCTAGTCTTCTTTTGATCAAGGTGTGTGGCAGGTGTGAAAAAAGTTGTGAATATTTTTGTTCTGCTATTTATTTGCACTCAAGAGTTATCTTTATTTATTAATATTACTATTAAAGATTATGTATAAGAACACAGGAGATCTTGTTAAATGAGAATAAAATTGGATAGATGATTAAACTTGTGAGAGTAGTGGTTCAAGGTTCAGTGATCTAATTGTAATTTTTTTTGGTTCTATGGACATGGTCCATACAATATTTCAAAGCTAACAATAAACTAATAGTTAAATAATATTATTTTAATCTTTAATACTATATTTTAAGAAATATTAAACAAAAAATGACATAATATTCATAATATTAAAAATTAAACTTCACTTATAAATGTTATCACTCAACATATATTCAAAATTAAACATGAAATTAAATCAAATATGTTATAACATTCAAAACTAATAATAAACAATAATATCTATTAGCAAATACAATTAGAAACTAAATAAATATAATAAATATGATTATCTATCATCATAATATTACGTTAGAATTATATCAATAATCTAATATTGGGTTTGTTTCAATTAACAAAAGATCCTAAGCAAACCAATTTAAATTGGTTTTGGATGATTTACCTGATTTTGGACTGGTTTCATCCACAATACCCACACCCACACCTTTCTTTCCTCTAACTTCCCCTATGTACCAAAGCTTAAAACCTGTAGCATTTATCTCCCAGTCTTTTCTCCAACCCATTTAGTTTCTTGTAGGCACATAATGTTAGTTCTCCTCCGAATCATGGTATCCACCACTTCCATATACTTGCCTGTAAAAGTACTAATATTCCAAGTGGCAAATCTGATCGAGCATTTCTGAAGTAGCTTCTGCTTTTACCTACATCCATCTACAAAAAATGTAAGGACCCTTGTTCACTTCACGGTACATCTGGCACCAATGTTGCGATTCTAGCTCATTTGATGCTATACTTGAGTGATACAGCACACTAGTTCCGGGTTAACAACTTAGCATTAGCAGAAAGCTGTCATGAATGATCTATGTTAGATATATTTGCAAGTTTTATGTTGGCTGCCAAGGACCTAACACAACCCTCCTCCTTAACCGGGACCTGGGACTGACTATGAACACATAGGTGGAGTTACTGTTTGGAAGCTAAACTTAGGGGGTGTATTGGTTTAGGATTTCGTAGGATTTTACATGCACAAGAGAGGTGAGAGACAAAGCAATGTGATGTGGGGTGAGGAGGAAGGTGCAACACATAGTGAAAGGTGGGGGAAGGATGTGGGTTACCGTTGTGAA